AGTATACTGTGGTGCCGTTTGGTGTGTCTAATGCACCTGGTGTATTCATGGAGTATATGAATAGGATTTTTCACCCTTATTTGGATCAGTTTATGGTAGTGTTCATAGATGATATCTTGATATATTCTAAGTCTGAGGAAGAGCATGCGCAACATCTAAGAATGGTATTGTAGGTTTTTAGAGACAGGAAGCTTTATGCCAAGTTGTCCAAGTATGAGTTTTAGTTGGAGAAAGTGAGTTTCCTTGGCCATGTGATTTCTAGTGGAGGAATTGCGGTTGATCCGTCGAAAGTTTTTGTTGTGTTGCAGTGGCAGACTCTAAAGTCTGCTACTGAGATTCAAAGTTTTTTTGGGTTGGCTGGTTATTATCGCATGTTTATAGAAGGCTTTTCGAAGTTGGCGCTGTCGTTGACTCAGTTGACTTGAAAGGGTCAAGCTTATGTGTGGGACGTTGGTTGTGAGAAGAGTTTTGTAGAACTCAAGAAGAAGTTGACGACTGCTCCAGTGTTGATTTTGCCAAATCCGAGTGAGTCTTTTGTAGTGTATTGTGATGCGTCAAAGATGGGTCTTGGAGGCGTATTGATACAGAATAGTCAGGTTGTTGCTTATGCTTTCAGACAACTGAAGGTTCATGAAAGGAATTACCCTACGCGTGACTTAGAGTTGGCCGCTGTGGTGTTTGTTTTGAAAATTTGGAGACATTATCTTTTTGGGTCTAGGTTCGAAGTGTTCAGTGATCACAAGATCCTGAATTTTTTGTTTGATCAGAAGGAGTTGAACATGAGGTAGAGAAGATGGATTGAACTTTTGAAGGATTATGATTTTGAATTGAGTTACCATCCTGGTAGGGCTAATGTTGTGGCTAATGTGTTGAGTAGGAAGTCCTTACATAGGTCGATGCTTATGGTTCGAGAGTTCGGACTGATTGAGCAATTCAGAGATATGAATTTGGTTTGTGAAGAGACTCCTAATAGTGTGAAGTTGGGTATGTTGAAATTGACTAGTGGTATTCTCCAAGAAATCAGAGAGAGTCAGAAATCTGATTTGAGTTTGGTGGATGGACTCACGTTGATCAATCAAGGTAACAAAGGTGATTTTCGGATTGATGAGAACGGTGTGATGAGATTCCGAGATAAAGTTTGTGTTCCCGATATGCCATAAAACAATAAGAGCATTCTTGAAGAAGGTCACACAAGCGGGTTGAGTATTCATCTTGGTGCCACAACGATGTATCAAGACTTGAAGAGGCTGTTTTGGTGGCCGAGTATGAAGAAGGAAATTACAGAATTTGTGTATGCTTGTTTGACTTGTCAGAAGTCGAAGATTAAACATCAGAGACCTACGGGTCTGATGCAACCGTTGAGTATTCCAGAATGGAAATGGGATAGCATTTCTATGGATTTTGTGGCAGGTTTTTCAAAGACTTTGAAGGGTTATGATTCGATTTGGGTAATTGTTGATAGACTGACTCAATTAGCTCATTTTATACCGATAAGGATCAATTATTCGTTGCAGAAGCTTGCCAAATTATATATTGATCAGATTGTGAAGTTGCATGGTGTTCCGTCGAGTATTGTGTCTGATAGAGATCCGAGATTTATGTCGAGATTCTGGGAAAGTTTGCAGACAGCTTTGGGTACTAAGTTGAGGTTGAGTTCTGCCTATCATCCGCAGACGGATGGACAGACAGAAAAAACTATCCAGTCTTTAGAGGATTTGTTGAGAGCTTGTGTGTTGGATCAAGGTGGATAGTGGGATAATCATTTGTCGTTGATTGAATTTACCTACAATAACAGTTACCGTTCTAGTATCGGAATAGCACCATATGAGGCTTTGTATGGCAGGAGGTGTAGGACTCTGTTATGTTGGTATGAGTCAGACAAAAGTGTTGTGCTCGGACCCGAGATTATGCAAGAGACGACTGATAAGATCAAGATGGTCCAATAAAAGATGAAAACGTCGCAGAGTCGTCAGAAGAGTTATCATGATAAGAGGAGGAAAGCACTTGAATTCCAAGAGGGAGATCACGTGTTTTTGAGAGTTACGTCGGTAACTGGTGTTGGCCGAGCTTTGAAGTCTCGAAAGCTCACATCGCCTTTTGTTGGCCCGTATCAGATTTCGCAGAGGGTGGGGGAAGTAGCATATCGGATTGCTTTACCGTCGTCGCCTGCGAATTTGAATGATGTGTTTCATGTGTCGCAGTTGAGAAAGTATATTCCAGATCCGTCGCATGTGATTCAGATGGATGATGTACAGGTGCGAGATGATTTGATTGTTGAGGCGTTGTCTGTTCGGCTTGACGAACGAGAAGTGAAGCAGTTGAGAGGTAAAGAGATTGCCTTAGTGAAGGTAGTTTGGGGAGGACCAGCTGAAGAAAGTTGGACTTGGGAGCGTGAAGATCAGTTGAGGGAGTCGTATTCGAATCTGTTCGCTTGAGGTAATTTTCGAGGACGAAAATTCTTTTAAGTGGGGGAGAGTTGTAACACCCCAAATTTATTTGAAATATTTTAATTAATTTATTTAATTAAGAATATTCATTTTTCGGTGATTTTCGGTAGTTTGGTGGGTTATTGAAAAAGTGTGCATTTTTGGGTTATTTATTTGATTAATAGTATATAACATTAATTTATTAGTATTATTATTAATTAAAATGAATATAAGTGAAATAAGGGTAATTTGGGCATTTGGAGGAGTTAGTAATGGTAATAAGGGAAAAACCCAAATTGTGAGGCCCAAGACTAGGTTTGACAAAATAGAGTTCTGAAGAGATTTAGGATTCATTTTTCTTAACTGTGAAAAGTATTGTGGTCAGAGCTCTGAGGAGAAGATTGGAGGCAGAAGATTCCCATAGATGATCGTGAAGGCTTTGAATCGACTAAGGTATGAGGAGTATAGCTTTTCATGATTTTCCATGTGTGTCTTTCAATGTAACTATGGATGATTTTAGGTTTAAGGGATTTTGGGTTGATTGTGGGAAAAAGGGAAATTGATAGTGAGGACCCTGATGGTTGTGGTTAGTGGTAAGTATTCTGACTGTTTGAGCGTAGGTATGAGATTTGGGAAATCTTAGGGCTCCGGGTCCAAAACCTTGAATTGTTATATGTCTGACCCTAAAGGAATAGAAATATTGGATAGTGAGTAGCTCTAATGCCTTAGGGTGTAATTGAAGGAAAAATTATGATTTAGGACATGAATATGTTACGGGATTGGCCTAATAAACCGTAGGTTTTGTGCCTTTATCGCCTAAGACCTTAGGGATGATTTAGAGATGTTTTGGGGGCATTGGGTAAGTGAATCGTATGGGTATTTGAGTGGTTTTAAGTTCTGGTGCGTAGCAGAATTTGCTGTCATCGCACAATTCGACTAGCGAAGAATGCTTCGTCTATCAAACCATGTTTTTTCCAGACTCGCCTAGCGAAGAAACTCGCCTCAGACTCGCCTAGCGAAGCTGCCAGCGAACGTAGCAGAGTTTCGCGAATGTTGATCATGTGCAGCGATGCCTTGATGTTTATTCTGTGATTTCTGTGATGAATTGACATGAGTATGACAGTGAGTTTTATGTGATGTGTACATGATTACATGATGATTTCTATGATGTATTATGATGATATTACCATAATTTGATGAAGTATGTGATAACATGAGATATGATGATTTATGTGATGATGATGAATATAATGAATGATGATGCACCATATGTTGTTATTATGAGGATGATTTGTGACGTGTGCATCATGCATTCATGTGCATCCGGACTTCGGTTCAGGACCTCGATTACTTTGGCTTCAGTTCCATTGTGTGGATGTGAAGTGTTTTGATGTGCTCCGATTCTCAAGTAGAATCGATCCCATTGATGGGGATCTATGGAGGGTTGGTGGCCCAGTGTCTATCGCGTTGTGATGATTGGTACCACATGCATTGAGTTGTGTTGCATTTGCATCTATGAGTCTTTTGTATGAATTATGACGTTGTGGCCTTTGAGGCATATTGAAGGATATGCATGTGTTGAATATGATTATGACGCCGTTTATATGTTGATTGTTATATATTGATTATTATGAATTGTTTTACTCACCCTGACTGTTTGAGTGTTACCTCCACGTGGATAACGTGCAGATGATCAAGTTTAGCTGTGGACGCTGTCGAGGAGTTATTTTTGAAGTTTAGAGTCGTTATCCTTTTTAGTTAACTTAGAGGGTCTTGCTCTGATATATAACATCGGGTTGGGTTCTTTGAGTTAAACTTTATACCGTTGAGTTATTTTGCTTACTTTCCATTATGAGGGAAAACCTTGATTTATGCCTTTTGAGTTTCGCTGCCTTATGCAGTTGGATGTATTTTGAAAAAACTCATTGTTTGCGGAGCTTTGACCTATTGTGATGATTTGGAAAATGGACGCCATTTTAGTGACTTTTATTGAGATTTATATTCATACTCTGATATCTGTGTTATTTTGCCTTAATAATTGTAGGGTAGAAAAGGGTGTTACACTTAGCACTTTGTGTATTATCCAATCCTTATTACTTGTATACGGTGGTTTTCACCTCTTTATTATCAATATATTATTGTCATTTAAAATAAATAAAAAATAAATAATCAATAGTAAATAATTAAGAATAGAAAAATGATTAATTAAAAATTATGATAAATTTATAATTCCTTGTAATTTTGTTTGATTTCTTTAAATAAATTATAAATTTAAATTTTATGTCCACTTATTTTTTACATATTAACACGTGCATTAAATAAAATTTGAAATATATATTTAAAAAAAAATCTTTATTACACATGAATTTTGGTTGGATACAAATACTTTTGTCAAAATAAATTTAAAGTTTTAATTTTTTTTACAAATAAATATTAAAAGTAGTTGCCATTAAATGAGATTTCTTGATTGGATTATGCTTACTTACCCAATTAAATTTAATGGGTACAAGAACGTTGGATTTATTAATAATTCTTTTATTTTATTTATTACATTTGTTTTATTGGTTTATAGATTTATAGATTTCCTCCTGCTATTAATACAATACGAGCAAGTAACTTCATCCTCTTATTCAATGTATAAATGGAAGAAACATTAACTATCTTTTCACCAGCTAAGATGGCTTCACATTGGTCAAGTGCATCACAAGCATATTTGCCATTCAAGCTTATAAGTTCAGCATCCTCAATCAACACATTTTTTAACTCGATTACCAGCGTCTTGTACTTCTCGGTTGCACATTCTTTGATTCCTTGAGAAGAAGGATATTTGTTCATCATTTTTTTGACGTGTTCATGAGCTTTTGCTGTCTTCTCTATTGCAACCATCTTTACAAATGACCTGCAAAAGGTTAGATAATCTTTGACCAGAGTAAGTGGAGGGTATGATTCTATAAGTTTCAGGCAACGTTGTTCGAAGTCTTTTTCACCAGGATCTTTGCATACATTTTGGTACAACTTGGGGTTTGAAGTTGGTGAAATGGCATGAGAAATAAAGATGATGGAAATGGTGAGCAACAAAGATAAATATGTTGAAGCTGCCATTCTCTCTTTTGCTTTTGGTGATGGACAATAGATCACTTGAGGATCTTAATTTATAGGCAAAAGAAACAATGCAAAATTAAATGTATTGACGAAAAATAAAATAAAAGAATTAAAATTGTGAAACATAAACCTAACATTAAAAAAGCAATGTAAACAAATTATAATTAAATTATAAATTAATCAAATAATCATATAAAGTATAATTATGTAATTTATAAACTTATTTTCTAAAAAAAATAATATTTAATAATAATAATTATTATTACTAGCATTCAGACGGACACTCACGTCTATTTTTTATAATATTTATCCGCGTAAAATATGAATTATATTTTTATTTTTATTTAATTTTTGTTTAATTATTTATTATTTATAAAATAATAGTAATAGATAATAATAAAAAAGATAATAAATCGTCGCATATAACCATCATTTTATTCTTTTATTATTTATTATTTATTATTATATTATCTTATTACTTTTTTTTCAGCTTGAACTTTCAATGATATATATATATATATATATATATATATATATATATATATATATATATATATATATATATATATATATATATATATATATATATATATATATATATATATATATATATATATATATATATATATATATATATATATATATATATATATATATATATATATATATATATATATATATATATATATATATATATATATATATATATATATATATATATATATATATATATATATATATATATATAGGTAACTTAATCAAGAGTCTTTGCTTTTGCTTCATAGTACAAAAGACGTTAAGATAGATACACCAGAAAATTTGAATCTAATGTGTAACGTGTTTAACTTTTGAGTATTAAAGAGACCTTGTACTGATAGAGCGTTGAAAATAGATATTCATAAGGCGTGTCAATCTTTCTTGATCCACGTAATAATGTACATGTCAAATGTTGTAGAACTGATTGTTGTCGACGGTTATCAATATACATAATATATAAATAGTTTTTTTTGTCTTTGTGACGAGGTTTCACATTTTTTCATTGTTGTTCTTTATAAATTCAAATATCAAAGTCAAAGAGATAAAGAATTTGCAATAAACGTATGAATATGCATTCTAGTTTTAAAATAAGCATTTTTACTTGATTTTAATTTACGATTTCTCTTCATTAAAGTTACACTTGAAAAATCTTGCATTTTACTTCTTGAAATTTTTGTCAAATTGATCCACCTTCAAACTTAAATTAACAAACACAAATACATTTTCTCAAACACTTTTTTTTGGATACAAATTGCTCTTAGAATTCTTAGAATATAATCCCTAAAATTAAATAAAACCTATGATTTGTTTACTAAAAATATCAATAAATACTTATTGAATTGGACATTAAAATGTTAATCTTACATGATAGTCTCTTTCCTTTATATCAGGAGCTCAAATCCACGGCAGCAAACTCCACTTCATCATTTAAACAAATTAATTAATTAATTAATTTTACTTTTTCTTCTTTTAAGACTCTGTTTAGTAAAAATAGCGGTGATTGATAAACTAGTTTATAACTTATGATTGATGGTTGATAATTTATATTTTATAGTTGATGGTTAGTAACTGATAGTTGATAAGCTAATTGAAGTGTTAGATAAAATTAACCATTTAACTAACTTATAAATATAAAATGACATAAAATGTATTTAATATATCTTTATTTTATTTTAAATTAAAATAAATTATAAAGAATAAAAGAGAATTTTTCTTAAAATAATAAAGATAAAAATAAAATAAAAGATGATAAGTTATAAACTCTAAAATAAAACGCTATTCGAAGTAACATCTGAAAAATAAATTATAAATTAATAAAATAAATTATAAATTTATGATAAAAATATTATTATCCAACATATCTAAATTTTTATATAAATTTATAAGTTATAAATTATAAACTATAAGTTCAAAAATATAGCTTATCAAATTGGGCTAAGAGAAAGTGGCCATGATAATCAAAAATTATATTATGAGCTAAATAAAATAATATATTTTATAAAATAGAGGCTAAGAGAAAGTGGGCAATAATGATAATAAAAATTTATATTATGAGCTAAATAAAATAAAATATTTTATACTTATACACTAAATTGAAGCAAAATAAATTCAGTAGAGCATTCAACCTTAATTGAAGCTTCGTAACAACTTAGCCGAACTATTTGATTTCTAAGTAACATATACAACTAGGACAACCCATGTTGACATATGACATACATTTCATCAAAACAACAGGTCACATGTTTTTAATTAGTATCTGACTTTTAAAACCGAATCAGATTGCATTTAGGTACCTTTTATTTTCACAATTAATAGCCTCATCATCATCTTACTTTTTTTGAATTTTCTGGATTTATGAAAGAAGATAAATGTTACAGTGCGAATAAATTCAAACAAAGTCCCAAAACACTCCCCAGCATTATTTGGTAAAACAATGTAAGGTGTTAATTATAATCACGAACATGCTCATTTCACATGGTTGTATTTTTCTTCCAATGGCCAAGCATTTCACATGCATTTAATAGGGATTAATAAAGAATATAGTTTACCATAATTAAAAATTAACATGCTAAAAATGAATGAGAATTTTCTTGATTCTTAATCTTGCGTAAGATTTTGAAATACGTTCATTTTTATGTACACGTGGAGAAATAGATTTCAATCCTTCATTTTCAAATATTACTTGAAATTATATAATCAATAAAAATTTGTTAAATATGTTTACACGTTGTCTCTGGTTCAATATTGTTTTGGATAAATAAACGGTATAAAAAAAAGGCCTATTAGCTATTTAAAGGAGGTCTAACAACCCACCTCATTTAAGGAATAAGATAAATAAACTTGCACCTTAGATACATTCATATATTTTATATTCTTATATATATTTTTTTACTCTTATCATTAATTTGAACATTAAAGTGTTAATCTTATAGAGTCAACTCCCGTGATCCACCACATCAGAGACTTGTAGCACCACACAAGAAATCTAACCTTCTAACTCAAACATAATTCAGGTTTCGATCTTGAACAATGGCCTCTTATGTGAGAAACAACATTTGACTCTTGCAAATTTCCACGATCAGGCCCTGTATTATGCAAAGCCAGCTCGCCATGACGGTTAACATAACATCAGGATAAGGGAGATGACATATGTGTGGAATCCCTTCAAGTTGTTTGCTCTGACGTCCCTCCCAATTCTCGGTGTTGATGACGCCAAAAGGAATCGCCACATGAATAAAACCTTCTACATTCAAACTCTCATCGATCGGTGCCAACGGAATAAGGAACATAATTAGGGATCCTGATGCCACGAGAGGATCGGTGAAACCCTCGATACAACATCATAGAAATCGTGACTCTGGCGAAAATAGAGGTCTCAACAGTTCAATACAACTTGAAATGGTCAGGCACACAAAAACACAATGTGTATGGCATATATCAAATGGAAGAACAACTTATATCGAGCAAATATCGATCCTACCACTCTTTGTACACGAGAGAACGAACTCGTCGAAGCCGACCGATAAGCAAAACAGGTGCCAGAGCGGAGCATGCCCCATCGTTGTACTTTAGAACTCGCAAACAAACTTAGTCCCTCAAATCATAAACCAATTATCAGCCCTAAATCGTCATCTTGAGAAATATTCAGGCTAAGTACTTTAAGTAGGCACTCAAATTCTGTTTTGTCCTTATTTCCCAATGATATAACTAAAGTTGTAATATATTAAATGCTACAAGTTATCCTATTTCTTTTAAAATCAAAGTCGAAGAAATAAGCGTATTACGTCGTGGGCAGGGAGCCAAAAGATGTCCACTTCAAACCAGTCTCAAACTCGGGGGCAATGAAGATGACCCTACTCTTGGTCCTGGACGGTCTCCAACGACACTAAAGAATTAGACTAGTTTCTGACAAAATTGACGGGTAAAACTTACGCCAGATCCTGACGAACACGAAGGGTGAGAATTCTGCGAGTTCCTAACCAATGGACGAGTAAAATTTATGCTAGTTCCCGACAAATAAAACAGATGATAATTACGCCAACTCTCGATAACTAAGACGATTATTGCCATAATTGCTTAAAGACCGAAACACCCTTAACAAATGAGGAAACGCACAAAAAAATTTAACTTGCATAACGATAACCTCAAAAGCGTACAAGGTTGTAAAGAAAGAAAAAAAATTCTAGGAAACCAAGCCACTTAGAGAAGTCTTGTAGAGGCCAAGAAGTTTATACAAAAATATGAGTCGTTACAAGGCCCTAAGGGGTATTAATAGCACGCATGCTGAATCATTTTGGTGTGATTTGATTTGAAGAATCTTTAATTGATACTGAGGAATCTGATAGGATCTGAATAGGATCTTTTTTTAATAGGGTATATTCTTCGATCGATTCACTAATCCATGAATTGTGATTTGGCAGGTGTAGATTGTAACACCCCCTTTCTATGCCCCCAAATAATACAATTAATCATTTAGGCATAAATTTAAAATTTCATCAGAGTACATTTGCAACATGGCATAAAAGGGAAATATCACATTATCATAAAAATTCCAACACATACAGCACCTGCTCAACAGATATGCAACAACGGGATAACACCCACAAGAAATATTTAGAACAAAGGCGGAAATATCCAAATATTTCATAATTCACCAAACATGTATCACATATACAGTTATCATTCATCATATTTTACAAAACATATCAACAGCAGATACATACTCAGATGTATCACAAAAGAATCAAAATAAATCCTATTCTACCCGGTGCTACATATCAGAACCGACCGACCAAAAAGGGAAGAAGCCACGCTTCACAAAAATACTTCCAGCGATCTAATCTGCAATGCCTCGTAGAGCATTAAAAGAAACAACAGAAGGGTGAGAAACGATATCATAACAACAATGCATAAAAACATATATATATACATAATACCCAATATACGTCTTTCGCATTCTCACC